GTGTACCGTCAGATCAGATCTGACTGGTACAGGAGGAGATTGTCCCTCCTTTCCTGGCAGAGCATCTGGTGGATTCGAACCATGCGTCTCTGGGATTGCAGTGCAGCTTCTTGCCACTAGGCCACCAGAGCTCCCCACATCTACCCTTTTACCTCAGTCACTGAGTCAATCCATCTCATCAAGGTTCTTCCTCTCTTGCACTTTTCTACCACTCTTCCAAGATTGATGTCCCTCTCAAAGGACTGGTCCTTCCTCGCAACATGGCCAAAGTATGTCAGACAAAACTTCAAAATCCTTACTTCAAAGGAGCAGCTTGGTTTCACAGGATGAATGTGTTTGTTCTCCTAGCAGTCCACAGTATATTCAATACCCTTCTCCAGTATCACAGCTCAAAGGCATCAATCCTTCTGTCACCCCTAGTCATTGTCCAGCTTTCTGATGCATAGCAGGTAATTGGAAAGATTATGGCCTATATCAGGTGCATCTTAATCTCCAGAATGACATTGCTTTTCGGTACTCTGGAGAGGTCCCTGACAGAAGATGTTCCTAGTGCAATTCGTCTTTTTATTTCCTGGCTGCTGGTACCAAGAGTGTTGATTGTCCAGTCAGGAAATCAGGAAATGTTTTGTCCACTGGGAAAGTCTGCAGTTAGGGATCCTCCAAGTTATTAAGAAGTCATGATGTCAGTTTGAGAACAAAGGTGCATCTGATTCAGGCCATGATCTTTCCGATCACTTGCTATGCATCTGAGAGCTGGACAATGAATACAAATGACAGAAGAATTGATGTCTTTGAGCTGTGGTGTTGGAGAAGACCATTGGACATCCTGTGGATGGCAGTCAGAATGCTCTTGGAGGCAAAGATGATAAAGCTTTACCTTACATACTTCTGGTGTGTTGTTAGGAAAGGCTGTTCCTTGGAGAGGCACATAATGTTCAGGAAGTTAAAGGGTCAGTTACAGAGCAGAAGACCCTCAAGTAGGTGGATTGACACAGTGGGCTCTAGTGTGTCAGGAAGTGTGAAGATGGTACAGAATAGGACAGGGTTCATATCTGTCATCGAGTTGCTGTGAGTCATACTCGACTCGATGGCACCTAACAGCAGCTAGGATAGAGTAGAACTGCTCAATAAGGTTTCCTTAAAGACTAATCTTTATGGAAGCAGATTATACTTGTTTCTCCTGGGACATCTGATGAACTTGGACCACTGAAGACCTCTAAGTTGGCAGCTAAATACTTAAGTACTGTGCCATTAGGGATCTTAAAGTTGTTCACTTTTTCCAAGACCCAGGAAAAGAGGCAGAGATGGGCTCTAGAGCAGGAGACAAGCTGCCTGATGAGAACTCTAGATAGAGCTAGCTGTGATTTGTTCCTCAATAAAATATTGTTTGTGTTAACTTTTGTCACAAACACTTGTTTAAAGAACCTCTGTCTGGTAAAATTAGAGTAGTAGTATATAGGAGACATTATTGAGAGCAAGGATGAATTGCTGTAATCTAGAAATGTTTTAAGAGGGAAAAGAAATAGCCTAGTGTTCATTCTCCTAGTGAAAGAAAGGACGACCCTCAGTGACGTGCATTGCCTCAGTGACTGCAGCTGTGGACTCAGGCCTGACACAGATGGTGAGGATGGCACAAGATAGGTTCATAGGGCACTATGAGTTGTTACGCAACAGTACCTAACAGTTCTCCAATCTCTTTGTTCACAGTTTTATTGTAGAACCTCAAAGCTGTTTTGTATTTTTGTTCCTTTAACTGAATAAAGTAGTTATACATTTCTTTGTTACAGAGTAAGTTTATAAATTATACTCTTTAATTCAAGCTGGAAATCATTAGCTTTGCAGAACTTCTCAGGGCTCCTGATTGTCAGGCCAAGACTAGTTTTCTACTTTTTCTCTTTACCTTTAGAGCCTGAACATAGTTTTCTGAAGCTTGTAATGTTTTTTGTTTGTTGTTTTCCATATTCCCCGTTTGATGCATAAAACTAATTTTTAATCCTTTTTTTTCCTTGTAGGTAATCCTACTGTTTCTGGAATGTCAGATATGGATTATCCTTTACAAGGACCTGGTTTGCTGTCCGTACCTAACCTTCCAGAGATCAGTTCCATCCGAAGAGTTCCTCTTCCACCTGAGCTTGTTGAACAGTTTGGGCGTATCCTTTTCCTTTGTATTTAACTGTTTAGAAAATGTTAGGGGAGCTCTGGTGGCCTAGTGGCAAGAAGCTGCACTGCAATCCCAGAGGAACACGGTTTGAATCCACCAGATGCTCTGCCGGAGAAGGAGGTGCAATATCCTCCTGTACCAGTCAGATCTGATTTGACGGTACACGCACACAAAATAATAAAAAATAATAAAAAAAAAAGAAAGAAAATGTTGACATTTATAGTGTCATTGTTTTATTAATTGTTAATATGTTTCATTTATGTGATTGTCACAGCATGCATAAAAATTTTGTGTAAAATTTCTTTTTGGAAATTGGATCTCAATGAATTGAGTACATGTAAGAAAATGAATTGTTTAGACTTAATTCTACATTTTGAGTTATTTCAAAGTGTTACTTTCTAACCAAATACTTCTTGCAGGGCATTTTTATTTTATTTTGAAACTGAGACATAATGCAAACTATTTAAAAATACACAAAAATCTTCCTCATATTTTTCTTCTTAAAAATAGTTATTAGTCTGGTCTTACACTTAATCATTGTCTTGCAATTGAAAAAATTAGGTTATAGTAAATTAAATTAGATCATAGTCACATGCAAGCAAGATTCTACTGAAGATTATCCAAAAACGACGGGAACAATACATCAGCAGAGAACTACCAGAAGTCCAGGCTGGGTTTAGAAGGGGTCGTGGTACTAAGGATCTAGTAGCCGATGTTAGATGGATCTTAGCTGAAAGCAGAGAATACCAGA